TTATTGCTGCATTATATTTATAAATATTTTTCGTGATATTCTGTTTTAGAGACACAGTATATCAACAACTTGTTTAAAAGATTTGCCAGTTCTACGGAGAACAAGCTTAATGATGTATCATTTGGAAAGATGATAACAGAACTGGGTGCTGGGATTGAAACCTATGATAGTAAACATTTATTGAGGTATAGATATAATTTTATATTTAGTAATTTGCAAAGAAGTGAACGGCAATCAACTTAATTGCATGTAATCAACTTTATTGATGGTGGTCAATAAAGTTAGTTTACCAACACAGAAAAATTCATATTAGTAAGAACACATTGGTATAGAAGGAACTAGATACTGTTCCGAAATATCACTTATTCGAACCGTCCTGACCGCGTAGCTCAGTTGGAAGAGCATTGGGCTAGTATTCCAAAGGTCGTAGGTTTGAATCCCACCGTGGCCGGGCATATTTTTCAAGCTCGCCCGGTGTGGATATGCACTCAGAGTAACATCGTAAACATATTATTCACCTGAGTACACAACACCAACACAGAAAAATTCATATTAGTAAGAACACATTGGTATAGAAGGAACTAGATACTGTTCCAAAATATCACTTACTCGAACCATCCTGACCGCGTAGCTCAGTTGGAAGAGCATTGGGCTAGTATTCCAAAGGTCGTAGGTTCGAATCCCACCGTGGCCGGGAATATTTTTCAAGCTCGCCCGGTGTGGATATGCACTCAGAGTAACATCGTAAACATAAAGTTAGTTTAGGTTTCCTCGTGTAGTAACACTGGATCAATAAGAGATGATCCTTTACTGGACCTCTAGGAAGAGCAGTTTAGAACTGATAGAGCTATCCAGTATAAATAAAGTTAGTTTAGTTTAGGCTTCCTCCTGTAGTAACACTGGATCAATAAGAGTTGATCCTTACTGGATCTCTAGGAAGAACAGTTTAGAACTGATAGAGCTATCCAGTATAAATAAAGTTAGTTTAGGTTTCCTCCTGTAGTGACACTGGATCAATAAGAGATTATCCTTTACTGGACCTCTAGGAAGAACAGTTTAGAACTGATAGAGCTATCCAGTATAAATAAAGTTAGTTTAGTTTAGGTTTCCTAACAGAAAACCACTATGGGATAGAGGTAGCGTTCTAATAATCTTTTTAATCTAGAGCATTTGACAAAGACAACAAGGGGTATTTAGATGTGGATGATATGTTACATGGTCTGGCTGCAATGGACCCCAGGACAACTCACGGTGGCGTTCCTGCAGAGCTGCGTTGCAGATACATATTCAAATACTACAACGTTTCTCAAAGTGGACATCTCGACCTGGATGAACTGAAGTATGTAAACAGTTGTTCTTGATCTTTTGTGATTTTCTTATATTGAAATTTGCGTTAGATGAACGGACAGAATGAAGACGAAATGTTTATCTAGACAGGAAGAACGAAAACCATCACCATAGCTAGAAAGAGCATCTTAAAAGAGTAAAATTGCAAAGTTTGATTGCGAATTGTTGTAAAATGAGGAAAATATAGCCCGGTGAAGTTCCCATATTTTGTATATATTTGCATTACGCGCTGTAAAAATAACCATTTTTGAGCCGATAGTGGTTATTTTTCCCGCGCGTAATACAAATATATACAAAATTTGCTAACTTCACAAGGCTATATTTTCTTCATTTTACAACATCCAGCAACCAATCTTTGCAGTTTTACTCATTCTAAGATGCTCTTTCTAGCTGTGGTGTTGGATTTCGTTCTTCTTGCCTTGATCAAAATTTGGTGTAGTATAGCTGAAATCACCCATTGATGGTTTCAGTAAGCATTGCTGGGCAGCAGATGGTAGCAAAGACAATTAAACTACAGTACTGTACATCTCTGAATTTGCCTTCAAATACAATACTACTGCATATAATGGAAATAATTATCATTATTTTCTCACTTTGCCAGCTGCAGATTGACCAACATCTGTTGCACGCTTAGTGAAATACATCAATAGCACTTTCTCAACTTTTTCAATTTAGAGAAATCATGAAAGATATTTGCAAGAGTAAAGGCGAGGTCACCACCAATGAAGAATTGGACACAAAAGTTAAACAAGAGATTAAGTTAGTAAATGTTACTGGCATGCTTGGTTTGACATCAAAGGGCCCACAATAATTGGTTTATACTTCATGTTGTGGTGTCCCCGCCATTCGTTGTTAGACTCAGTGATATACATGTTCTGGGGTTTTTTTTTCTGTGTTGGTGTTGTGTACTCAGGTGAATATGATATTTGTGATGTTACTCTGAGTGTATATCCACACCGGGCGAGTTTGAAAAATATGCTTGGCCACGATGGGATCGAACCGAACCGAACGGATTACTCGAACCGTCCTGACCGCGTAGCTCAGTTGGAAGAGCGTTGGGCTAGTATTCCAAAGGTCGTAGGTGCGAATCCCACCGTGGCCAGGCATATTTTTCAAGCTCGCCCGGTGTGGATATACACTCAGAGTAACATCACAAATATTATAACATGTTCTGCTGTTGTAATGTTCTGTTTGTATGTACGTTTGTGTTGGCGTTTGTGTTTAATAAATAAATAAATAAATAAACATCAAAATGCATCATCCGTCTGACAGGTCACTCCATCGCAGGGTTAACACAGGACAAACTATTCAGACAAACTATCTAGAATAGCGTGATGAATACTGGCAATGGTTTGAGAAGCAAGTTCATCTCTGTGTGGACAAATTATGCAGAAAGTTTGTCCATATACTGTAGACAGTTGATTTGTCTATTCGCCGTGTATGAAATGACGAACTACAGTATATTATCCTTTCTAACTGCATGCCCCAGGGTGCGATAATTCAAATTTTTTAGTCGTACCTGACTGGTACTCCAATCATTATTGCTGCGTACTTGAGCTGGAACAAACTTAATACTCAAGGGTGCTTAAATTAGTCTTTAGAATAAAGTACATAACGTACAGCTTTCTGAAAGGTATTCATTCAGTGACCTGAAGATCGACTATAACATTCCTTAGTCCCATCTCATCATATCAGTCCAGGTCATGCTAGACTTGCACATATTCCGACTAAATTATGGTTTTGAATAACTTGGGCTTGGAAGATCAAATGGTATAAGCAAAAAGTTAAGCACGCAGATGAGAAGAATATCGCGTACCTACGTGATACTTGGCTGGAAACAAGGAAGTACCAGACCGTAATATTGGCGCACCTCCGGTACTAAGTACGCGAATTATCGCACCCTGATGCCCATAATCGTTCAAACAAATGATCTGTTTAAACAACTTGCCCATTTTATATTTTCAGGATTTTTGGAGAGGATTTAACAGACAAGGTGCCTTTGAAGGAATTCCTGGACGGTGTTGGACATCTGAAATTTCGTGGGACGTCTTTGCTATTTCGTCTGTTCAGTCCTCTCAATGAAATTGTGGCTAAAAAGACGAAACAAAGTCCTCATATTACTAAGAAAAGGTTTATATTGATATATTTTACGTATTATTTAAAACACGAGCAGCAGTGTTTTCTCAGATGTAAAGATACGAGGCGAAGCCGAGTAGCTAGGTCTGATAAAAC